AGTTAAAAAATGTCACAAGGAACCATCAAAACTCATAATATAACATGTAGCGTCAAACCTCTGGCGCGTCTGATGCCGTCTTTTTTGCGTTCAATAGCATCTTCTTCTTCCTCTGCCTCGTCTTCTTTGTGTTCCGCAGCAGAAGCTTCAAACTTTGCAAAGCTAACCCACACCTTGCAATGCTTTGTACGGTCCAAGAGTCGCTCATATAAAGCCCGTGTCCTCTCTAATTCCCCTTGCGATATCTCAAAATCAATGTACGTCTGCCACAAACAATATATAGAGAATTTAATGATCCAATCGGTTCAAAAGTCTGAGAAATCTTTATGGATGCATTAGACAGTAAAAATTTACCTTCCAAAGCAGCTCAGGCATGTCTAGAGCAGGCTGAGATATTGCAAGCTCAAAGATAGCTCTAGCTCGTTCTGTTTCAGCAAGAGAAATCTCAAACTCAGCATAGTTTCTCCAAGCATAGCAATTCTCAGGAGACCATTCAAGAAACCGCTCGTATAATTTTCTACATCTATCGATGTTTCCCAACTGGAGTTCAATCTCAATGTATTTCTTGAATATCTGTTTTGCAGATAACAAAAAAATGTTAGTAAAAAACACATGAGCAATAATGTAAACCATTTCCAGATTACGAGTCGTCAGGCTTACCTTATCTTTTGGAGCTTTCCCAATCGCATTTCCTAAAATTTTCCGTGTGCCCGTAAGATTCAATTGCCTGATTTCATATTCTGCAGCCAGCAACCATATTTTGGCAAAAGAAAATTTGGTGTGTGGGATAAGCTTGAGGCATTCTCTGTAATGTTTGCAAAAACAACAGTCAGTCTAATCCGCCACAAGCTATGAATATAACTTGAAAAGTTTCAGAATACCTGTAAACATCTCGTGTACGCTCCACATCTTTAGTTTCAATCTCTTCATACAAAGCATAATTAATCCTACACCAATTAGTCAAATCAGTTTGCTAAAGAACCAAAAGCTTTCCACTCTACATGAAACTAAAATTTAAAAACTCACCAAAGATAAATGTATCTTTGCCAGAATCGTTTCTCTTGGGCAGGTGGAACATTAGCAATAGCCCTCTCATAGATTTCTCTGATCCTATCTTTGTTCCCTACACTCTCTTCCAACCTAACATAATCGAACCACGAGTCATAGTTCAAAGGGTTTTTACTCACTTCATCTTCATACTGAAACCTCTTCTTCCCAACAATAGCATCCTCAATACCTTCCTTATCACCATACTGTTTCTCAAACGCCAAAAACTTCTTGTACAAATCCTCAGCTCTTCCTTTAGGAATATGATCAAGAGCAAACTTGTAGATAAACCTAGCCCGCTCTACTTCCTTGCATCGCTCTTCGAATTCAGCAAACGCTACAAAGAGAATCTCAGCTTCTTCGTCGTTTCCAAGCTCGTCTGCGGCCCGATTGTAAACCTCCCTAGCAAGCTTAACTTGACCACCACGCTTCATCTCAAACTTTGCATATCGAATAAAAGCAGATACTTTCGGATGACAAAGAACAAACCTCTCGTATATCGATCTCGCACGTTCGATTTCGTTATACTTAAGTTCGAATTTAATAAAACAAAACCAAGCTTTTTGATCCGGCGACCAATTCATCCACCGCTCGAAGATCTGTCTAGCTCCGGCGATATTCCCAAGTTTCTCCTCCATGTAACTATACTTGTACCAAAGCTGGTCTACTCGAGGGAGAAGCGTAACAGAACGATCCCAAACGTTCCTTGCATTGTTGACAAACTTGTTCTTCATCTCAAACTCTGCGTACTTGACCCAAAGCGTATGGTTCCTGTAATCTCCTTCTAAAGCTCGTTCCCACACGCTCCGAGCACGCGCGTAATCCATTTGCGACTCTTCCCACTGCGCATACTTGACCCAAACTTGGATGTTCCATCTCGCTCGACGGATCTGATCCTCAAACTCCTTCCGACGTCGGAGTCTGTAATCGGAAAGCTCAGTAGAATCAGTGATTTTCTGCTTAGGTGTACGGATCTCAGCCTCTTGCCTCTCTCTAGCTTCTCTTAGAATCTGCTCTGCGGTGATTTGCACCGGGGCCGGAGTCTTGTTCTTGACCCGTGTCGTCAGTGGAAGCTTTACTTCCGCATATTTTCCGGTCATATAACCAAAGTTACGGTCGCCGGAGGCCATGAGATCTCAGTTTTGCTTTTTTAGGGTTTCTAGATTTTGGAAATGAGAGAAGAAAATGATTGAACGAGAACACAGCGTAACATACACGCACAAACGGAATGGGTTATTAATGGGCCTCAATAAGTTAGGCTCATGATATCACAATGTTGGCCCATTTTAAATCTACTTGTGCAATTCAGAAAAATATTCGAGAAATTCTAAAAAAGCCCAAAAACCCAAAACTAGAGTAAAGAGTAAAAGACCTTGCGCATGAAACTAGAGTAGTATGTGGGAGGATGAATCATCATCAACTAATTGAATGTTTTCCAAATCATTTTTTTTTGTTGTTGTCAACAAAATTTTTCCAAGCCATTTGAACTGCTCTGAACAAAGAAGTTTAGTTCTTCCTAAACTTGGTTTATGGTTATAATTTATATTTTAGAACAACGGAAGTACTATTTTATCAAAACCATCTTTCAGCAATTGTTTCGTCTTTAATAGATCTAGAAGGTTAACTCATCTCATTTCTTTTCTCACATGAATGAAAAATATATGAATACATATATAAAATAACTAACATTTTTTTTAATGACATACTAGATAAGAAGATATATATTCAGAAAAAAAAAAAGAAAATAGAAATGCACAAATGAACATAACTTAGGAACATTGGAAACAAATTTTAATGAAGTTGTAACTTTATTCCATTCTTTACTTTTCAAAGTCTCGAAAATGTAAAGGTCATGTAAATTGTTCAGAAATTTAAAACATATGAAATGAGAAACTTAGATAATTAATAGCTAAATAAATCGCAAAAAATTCTTTATTATATTAATATTCCATCCATAACACCATAACACTCGATCTTCAATATCTTCTAAATATGCAAAATCAAACAAAAACGTTTTTAGCAATTCTTACAAGAAAAGCAAAAACATAAACTTTTTTTATCAAAAAGAAAAAAACTCACAAGATAATAGAATGCCAAAACTCACATTTTGGAGAGGTTGATAAGTAACACCAAATTTATCTATAAGAATAGGCTAGCCAAACGAGTTGATAAAAACGGCATCATTTCCAAAAGCTGCTTTTTTTTTTTTTTTTTTTTTTTTTTTTTTTTTTTTTTTTTTTTGTAAACCTCCAAAAGCTGCTTTAACGTTGAATAATCCGAGCACTACTTCCAAAGACATGTCGTTAATAAACACCGTCATTCTCACAAGAGAAACACAATCTCTGGTGTCTTCACCACCGAATAATACTACATCTCGTTCTTTTTGTGATCAATAGAATACAATTTGGTGATTAATGTTAGTCAAAATAATTAAATAAAACTAATTTACCCCAAATAATTATACAGTAAATGGTCAAAACTAATGACCAAAACGTCATGTTGTTTGTGCTTTTACTATATGCAGCATATATTTTTACTATACGCATAATTTATTACAATATTACTCTTGAAACATTGTTACTTATACCATCAAAGCTGGTATTTAATTATTAACTAACTAGATTTATTCGCCTATGCATTACGCGGGATATCAAATTTAAGCTGGTAACAGTACAAATTGTTAAAAATAATGATAGTCATTTGAATTTCAAAAACTATTTATATTCATATTTGTTTTACAAAGTAATATATGACATAGAAATTATCAAAAATATTTGGTATGTACCACGTCATAATAAAAGTTATATAAGATGATTCGGTTTCAGTAGCCATCCACGACTTTTTATCTAGAAAATAGTTTATTCCATCAGATCTTGTTAGTATATTTTTGAACAACAATTTATGAAAATGTATAAACGTAATATTCATGTCGTTTCAGTAGTATACCGTCCCATATTAATATCTTTTATAAATATTTATTATGTTTAACCTTCTTATAAATTCTTATAAAGTTCAAATATTTATAATATTTGAAACTTATTTAAAATGTTTTTTAAAGCTTAACTTTTTAAATTTTTTCTACCAATTGGAGCCCTCCCTTCACCACCTCCATGGGGATGGTCAAATAATTATAATATTAAACTTTCAATAAAGTTTAAATATTTATAATATTTTGAAACTTTTTAAAAGTTTTAATTATTTAAAATAAAGAACCGGAGTAAACTGGATAACACTTTCAATTTTGGACGCTTGATAAATCAAGTTTCATGCTCATTCGTATTCATAATCGTTTTGGTTCTTTTTATAGTATGACTCTGAACCATTGCCCAATTTTTTAAGCAATATAGGATATTGTACACATATTTTTGCTTCATCGATAGAGTAATATATGTCCGTTTTAAAAAATTAAAATCACATCATATGCAAAAAAAAAACTAATATTTTATTATATAAATTTCAAAATAATTTAAATATAAGATCAAATAAAAGTGAAAGAAGAATCATATATTTATGTTTAAATTAAGCATAGAAATTTTAGGAATTAGAAATTAATCGAATGTAGTTAAGGTATCTTTGTAAAATTTGGTTAGGACAATATCTTTGTAGAGATTGAAACTGTAAATAAAAAATAGATTAGGATTTTTGGCCAATGCATATATAGGTAATTAAAAAACACTATTTTTTTTAACTGCAAATTCGTATATAATAGTGTTTTTAAAAAAAATTTAAAACACTATTATACAAGTGTTATAGACCTTAATTTTAAATCAAACGAAATTATTCAATTCACAAATCAATAGTTTCATAAATTCAAAATAACAATTCAACTCAAGCCCATTATTCAAAATATTTGGTTGACTACTATTCAATCAGGCCTACGGGCCTTAGAAAACAATAAATGGGCCTAAAATATTTTAAACACCATCGAAACAATGGATAGATCTCAACTTTGAAAAGCGTCCAAAAATATAAACAAACATCAATCTCTCGCCGTCAGGTTACAATCTATCGCCACCGCTAAGACCGCCGTCTCCTCCGCAATCTTCATAACCAAAACAACCCTAATCACCTGGTAAGCTCGATTCTCTAATCAATTCTCTCTCCATGATGTCGATCTCTTTCTACTGAAGTTAAAGCTCTTGCGAATCCGTTCTTTGTTCTGCGATTAGGGTTTCACGATTTCTGTTCTAGGGTTTCAAGATCCCTAATATCTGATAATCTTGTAATTGCGAAAGTATTGATCTTTGTTCCTTTGATTTGAGTTTAGCAATTATTGAGATTTCTTTGAAGTTGAATACTTTTTCTCAATCTTGTAATTGATCATTACAAAAGGATTGATTTTTATCTAAGTATAGTGAGGTTATTGATTTTTGTTGGTTTTGTGTCAAAGGTGCTTTTATGTAAGTAAAGTATTGATTTTTGTGTTTTGTGGCAAAGGAGCTTAAACAATGGGAAAGAGGAAATCAAGAGCAAAGCCTGCTCCTACGAAGCGAATGGATAAGCTTGACACAATCTTTAGTTGTCCTTTCTGCAATCACGGCTCGAGTGTCGAATGCATAATGTAAGATGATTCACAATATGTGAATGAAATGAATGAAAACAATTGAAATCATTCACTGATAACTTTGTTTGTTTTTCCAGTGATATGAAGCATCTGATTGGTAAAGCAGCTTGTAGAATCTGTGAAGAAAGCTTTAGTACTACTATCACAGGTTTTTTTCGGTCTTTCAAGTCGATATAGAGTCGGGTTTTACTTACGTTTCTGATCATTCTTTTTCTGTTATGTTTCTTGTAGCTTTGACTGAAGCTATAGACATGTAAGTACACATCTATTTCAACATTATGTTTTCGCTTTTGTATTTCTCTAAATCTCTCTGGTTTGTTCAAAATGAATGCAGTTATAGCGAATGGATCGATGAGTGCGAGAGGGTTAATACGGCGGAAGATGATGTTGTGCAAGAAGAAGAAGAAGAGGAGGAAGTAGAAGAAGAAGAAGAGGAAGAAGAGGATGATGAAGATGACCATGTCTCTGTCAAAAGGAAGTATAATTTCTGAGACGATTCTTTTATCGAAAATCATGTAAGTCGTCTTAAAGTTATCTGCCTTATGTTGTAATATCTATCTGATGAAATTACAAGAACAATCTTTAGTGTTTTCTCTGTGTCTGGTAGAGAAGAAACATAAAAATAACAGTGTATGATGATGATTTGTAAGTGGATTAAGGCTTTGCTTATTTGGTTCCAATTGGTACATTTATTACAACAACCAAATAAAAACTTATGTCTTTCCTTACATTTGCTGATTTGGTTCTTTCTGTTCTACATTTGCTGATTGCGTAACATCAGCTCTGTACTCATAAAATCTAATTACAACCAAGAAGAGGATGAAGTTAACCAAATTAAGTACCGCGAAGAACATGTAATATTTATCCAACCTAGACTCATTCAAGTTGTTTTGAATCCATCCTCTTCCCTGCGTCTTTGTTATCTGAGACACGGACGAAAGCAAAAAACTGCTCAGGAAATTCCCGACTGCCATACTTGTGCTCGTATATGATGTCCCGAGGCTTTTCATACTCTCTGGTGCTTGATCGTAGAAGAACTCGAGCTTTGCTATCTCTATAAAAGCATCAGCCAAACCCATTAGTACATACTGTGGAAGCAATGTGAAAATGGTCAAGGGAATTGGTACAGCGGTCTGGTGGTTTAGCCCGCGTTCAGCAGCGACCTTGAGCCTATACCGTTCGGTTATGGACGCTATGATCATGATTAGGATGTGAAGGATCATACCGATTCCCATTCGCTGGAGCAATGTGATACCTCTTGGATTTCCGGTTAGTTTTCTCATGAGTTTAACAAATACACGGTCGTATATGACTATAGAGACGAGCATTGAGAATGTTGTGAAGCCTAAGAGACTTGCTGGCGGGATGCTGAAGTTGTTTGTGAGACGACGGTCGAGGGTCGTTCCTTGTTTGATGAACAAAGTCATTATTTGAGCAAGCATCATGCTTGGGACGAATGTTACGAAGAGGACAGGTAACATTTTTAGCATCTGTTTTGTTTCTTCCACTTCTGTGATTGTACAGAGACTCCATTTATGGGTTGATCCGGTTTTGAGTGAAGCTCGATCTAAGAATCTGCAACACAGTTAAATCTTAGGTACATTATGATATAAAACAAAACACCAAGAGTCAAAAAAATTAAACAAACTGAACCAAAAAATCGAACGTTCACTCTAATAGGATTAAGCATTTACCTAAGACTTAGAGTAGAATGGATCGGGAAAGCCCTTTTGCTTGCATATTCCATTGGCGAAAGCTCATAGAAGCACGTCGAATCACGGGGCATAGGCTCGTGGGCTTTGCGAAGTGAAGCCACAATGACTCTAGCCATCTTGGTGAATGGGCTTCCCGTTGGGAGTTTATGGCGGTATAACCGAGTTCCCAACAAGAATATGAATATTGAGAAAGCAAGACCCAAAGTTGAAAGCCCATAACCTATGGCCCAACCCACATTATCTTGAACATAGACAAGAACAGTTGTGGCAAAGAAAGTACCAAAGAAGATACTAAACATCCACCAATTGAAGAATGAATGTTTATGAATCCTCTCCTTAGGGTCGAATTCATCGAATTGATCAGCACCTATTGTAGAAATGTTTGGTTTCGTACCGCCTGTACCAACCGCTAATGTGTATAACGCTCCAAAGAATACCGCTAATTGTAAAACCGAAGCTTTTTCGCAGTTTTCAACATTAGCCGTCGAACATTTCGGTGGTTTAAGTGCCGGTAGAGATACTGATAACGTCAGTAATGCCATTCCCTGTAATGTTATGTCGTATATTTAACACAAAAACTCATTCTAAATTCTTTACTATTGATGTGGTTATAAGAATTTGTATGTAAGGTAAAGAAATATCTTTATAAATACCAATAAATAGATAGCGGAAGAGATGACGAAAGTGATGTAGCGACCGAGATGAGCATCGGCAACATAAGCACCCAAGATTGGAGTGAGCCAGCTAGTCCCAACCCAATTGGTCACATTGTTCGACGACTTGACCGTGCCTTGGTGCAATTTGGTAGTCATGTAGATCACTAAGTTGCTTGATATTCCATAATACGCCATTCTTTCAAATACCTCGTACACTAATCACATTAACATTCAAAATATCAATCAACTCTTGATCATATACACAAAAATAACTAAAAATAGAGATTTTTTTTTACTAAAGATGATATATACCAACGACGAAGGAACAAGCTTTCCAACGGCCTGTTTGAGATCTTCGGACGCAATTTCCTCGAAGATCAACTGTTCCATCTTTTGTATAATCATCTCCTACCTCTTCTACTGTCATTTCTCTCTTGTTCAATATAGTTTATACGGATCTTTGTTTGAAGAGAGTTGGTACTTTGGTCACATATAATATGTGTATATAGTATTATATAGTTAAATGAGCTGTCTTACCATTTAATCACTATTTTAAAAATAAGAGTTGACATTGTTTATATTTAATTAATTACTATAATTGATTTTAGGTACAGTTTACATGTTGACATATGTATAGACAAATACTATTGGTCAAATATACAATTTATTATCACTATCGTTATCATCACAGCTGTAATACCAAGATAAGCTCGCTTCATAGAAATGACACCTCTTCAACCATTTTTGTAATATGTCATACTGTATGAATGGAATTTATAATTAACGTTTTTGAAACCGAAACATGATAAAATGAAAGATATTTAAAAAACAATTAAGTGTGTTTACTCCTTTTTCAAGTAACTAAAAACAAACAGTTTATCGTGCACAAAATGAAACACTCTCCATCTAAAATGCCACTTTCATCACCAATTGTGTTTGTTTAATTATTTAAAAGTGTTAATATATTAATTATTATTTTTTACTTGAGTTCAAAATTCAAAATGGGGTCTATTATACAATTTCTTATCTAAAACTCGTTTTATATAAGATGAAAAAAAAAAATATAGATAATATCAAATTTTATCCTTATAAAACAAAATATAGGTAAGAATATCCTTCCAGCCTTAAGAAAGAAAAGAATCTTACCTAAATAAAAGTAATTTTTAGTATTGAAAATCTATCGTCATACCAAAATGAGTTTTCTACATATAATGCCACATCATGAAATGAAAATATTTGTTTCTATAATAACACATCATACTAAAATGAGAATTATTTACAGTCAGATGATGGCAAGTGGCAGCAATGACACTTTCTTACTAAATTAATTATATTTATTTTTAGAATATTCTTCTTAAATTCTTAATTTTTTGGAAAAATTTCAAAGTAGATGGAAGGAATATCACCAGTAAGCTGGAATAAACATTTCTTAATTTGTTTTTTTTTATTGGGCGACATGTGTTTTGTTGTTGTTCTTTGAAATGTGTAAGCCTGATTCTGTTTTCTTACTCATGGTTTTTGTGTATTTTTGGTTTGTAATGTAACAAGTCAAGAATGAAAGTTACTGAAATTAAAATGATACAGAAAAAACTATATTATTCATTATTTGTCATTCATTCTCTTTCATTTCCTCCTCTTTCACAACCACTGAATCAGTAACATCAGCTCTATAAACATAAAACTTAACCACGACCAAGAACAAGACGAAGTTAACCAGATTAAGTACCGCAAAGAACAGGTAGTAATAATCCAACCTAGACTCGTTGAGATTGTTCAAAATCCAACCTCTTCCTCGTTTCTTTGTTATTTCTGACACTGTAGATAACAAGAAACTGCTCATGAAATTCCCAATCGCTAAACTCGTTGTCGAATAAGATGTCCCGAGGCTTTTCATGCTCTCTGGAGCTTGATCGTAGAAGAACTCGAGCTTTGCAACTTCTAAGAACGAATCAGCCATACCCATTAGGACGAATTGTGGAAGTAAAGCAAAGATGGTTAAAGGTAGTTTTACTCCGGTTTGGTGAATGAGACCATGATCAGCAGCGACCTTGAGTCTATACCTATTACAAAAATACCAAATAAAGAAGTTTAAGGAACCTTGCAACACAAGAAAGTATTTGATATTTTTTGTCGTTAAGAATACCTTTCAGTGACAGATGCAACGATCATGATGAGGATATGGAAGATAAGACCAATTCCCATTCGTTGAAGCAAAGTAATGCCTCTTGGATTTCCAGTGAATTTTCGGGTTATCTTGACGAAGACTCGATCGTATAAGACTATCGAAATGAGCATTGAGAGTGTGACGAAAGCGGAGAGACTTGCTGGTGGGATGCTGAAAGATCCGGTAACCTTTCGGTCTAGAGTGGTTCCTTGTTTAACAAACAATGTGTTGATTTGAGCAAGCATCATGCTTGGGACGAAAGTTATGAACAAGACTGGTAACATTCTCAGCATTTGTTTTGTTTCTTCGACCTCTGTGGTAGTACAAAGATTCCATTTATAAGTTGTCCCTGTTTTGAGTGAAGCTCTGTCTAAGAATCTGCATCATAGTTACATGTTAGGTACTTTATGATCATATACTTAGGATATGCTAGGTACCTAAACTGAGACCAAACTAATATACACATTACCGTAAACTTGGAGTGGGTTGGATCGGAAAGGTGCCTTTACGCTCATATTCAAGTGAGGGTAGCTCGTGGAAGCTTGTGTTGTCATGCGCCATTGGTGCATTGGCTTTGCGAAATGAAGCCACGATGACTCGAGCCATCTTGGTGAAAGGACTTCCAGTGGGAAGTTTATGACGGTAAAACGGAGTGCCCAACAAGAAAATGGTAATGGAAATAGCCAGACCTAATGTTGGAAGACCATACCCCAAGGTCCAACCAACATTATCTTGAACATAGACAAGAACAGTGTTGGCGAAGAGAGTACCAAAGAAGATACTAAACATCCACCAGTTGAAGAATGATAGTTTTTGAGTCTTCTCCTTTGGGTCGAATACATCGAATTGATCAGCTCCTATGGTTGATATGTTCGGTTTTGTTCCGCCTGTACCGATTGCTAAGGTGTATAACGCTCCAAAGAAAACCGCTAATTGTAAAACCGAAGCCTTTTTGCAATCTTCGAACTTAGTCGTGGAACATTCTGGTGGCTTAATTCCCGGTATAGTTACTGATAATGTTAACACCATCATCCCCTGTGCATATTGATAAAACGATGTTCATATATGAAAACATACGTTCTTATTTTCGTTATTGAAGTATTGTTTATGCAAGTTGTCATGTGTAATAAACTAATAATAAGAGT